CAGGGCGGGTGGGGACGCGCCTCCTTGGGCCCCCAGGGGGGCTCCTGATCACAGGGAGAAGGAAGCCCCAGTTGCAGATGGTCCTGCAAAGCCACGGTCCTCCCCTCCCTCTCCTCTGCAGGGCGGACGTTCCTGTGCAACCCCAATGGCCTCCCACTCCCCTAAATGGTTTAAGGCACCGTCATATGAGGAGGCAGGTAAAAACTTACCCAAAGGATCCCCCAGCACAAGTCCCTGGAGAGCCAGGAAGCAGTGGGGTGCTCCAGGTTGAGCAAAGTCCACTATAAATACATATAAATTCCACAAAATGTTTTCCTCGCTCCTGTCCTTGAGCCTGGGTTTGAACTCAGGCTGCTTTGAGGAGTGTGCACGGGGCAGCTGAAGGGCTGGGGTCCTTTGCCAGGATGTTCAGAAGTGCCGGGAAGGAGGCCGGGAGCAGTTCATGAATCCTCTGTGATGGCCAAGCAGAACGAGAGTGCCAAGAGGCCAGGAGGGATGCAGGAGGCTCTCCTGGATCCCCAGCTCTGAGTGCTCCCTGGGGGAGTCAATGGGGCAGGCAGCCCCATGCCCGCAAAGTCCCTTGTTCAGTATTTTTATTACACACCAACAAAAAAAAAAAAAAAAAAGAAGAAACTAAAACGTAGTACAAGGTAAAAACCAAATGCCAGCGACCAGGAGGTGCCTAAGCTGTCTGGGCCCTGCCCTGCTGTGGGCTGCTCTCCTCAGTTTGAAGCTGGGTTCTCCTTGCCTGGGGTCAGCTCCTGGCTGCCTCCAGCCTCCTGCTGTAGCCACCTCGGGGTCTCTCCTCTTCACCTCCCTCTTGCATCTGGGGGGGCAAATGGTCAAAACCTGGAGAGGCTGGCTCTGAGGAGTGGTGCAGGGATCTCCAGGGAGGCAGGGCTGGCTACATGCGGGAGGATGGGCTGGCCAGCTCGTAGAAGAGCAGGTAGGCATCGCTGCTGCGGACATGGCTGGATGACATCGGGGTAACACTGTGGAGATGGGGATATGGGGTGTGAGCAATGGGGGTGAGGCCCGCCCCAACCCTACAGCCACCCCTGTCCCACACAAAGCCTCACCGAGAGTCGTTGAAGCTGTGCCACTCGCTGGAGACGGGGCTCTTGCAGTAGGCAGTGTAGTGTCCCCCCATGGTGGTGCCCGAGTGATTGGAGACGGCGTAGAGGTTGTAAATGGCGTGGTCTGTGGGGAGCAAGGGTGGTGCTCAGCTGTGCCAGCTGCTGCCCCACTGCCCCCAACATGCCAGCACAGAGCTGAGACTGGGAGGGACCAATACCCTGGATGTCTGCAGCTCCCACCCCACTCCCCATGCCTCTGCCACCCACCGCTGGCTGCAACACCCTGGGGGGTGTGAGGGACCCAACCAGCAACTGCTGGGAGCCCAGGGCTGGGCTGGAGCCACACAGGACCCGCCACTCACTGCAGCTCTGCGAGGCAAACTCCCGGAGGTCCAGGTCCTTCAGCTGGAAGTTGACGAAGGTGGTGAGCTTGCTTGTTCGTATCCTGGCTTCTGAGAAGCGCTTCAGATCTGGGGGGAGGCACGTCAAGGAGCCCAGGGACAAAGAGGAACGTATGAAGAAATGCCTACCCACACCCCAGCACCCTCTGGCCCCATCCCTTCCTCTGAAGGATACGAAGCACCAGGATCTTAGGGAACTTCTGGATGCTGAATTTCTTTGTGCACCTCGTCCTGGCTTTGCAGTGACAACACGTCTGGGGAAGACAAACAGCACAAGCAGGAGGGTGAGGGCAGAGGCCAGAGGCCAGTCCCACTGGGCACTGAGCCCACAGTCCTGGCAACACAGGCATGGAGGGAAAGGGGCCCAGCCTGCACCAAGGCAAGACCGCCTGTCACCATGCCCCATACCGGTTTCTCGTCCCCATCCAGGACATCCTCTTTGGTGAAGAGCCGTAGGCAGTCCATGAGAGTCACCTCCCCGTAGCCTTTCTGTGGAAGCACAGCATGGGTCAGGGACAGGGTGTGTGGGGCAGGGCACTGGGGGTTTGTGGGGACCCCTTACCTTGGGGATAGGCAGAGACAGGTCCCAGAAGGGGTCAAAGGCT